AAGTAGAATTCAAGTGTCAGAATTTAGACACTTTGATTTGGAGGCATAGTTACCTAAATAATTGCCTTCTCATGAACAGGCAAGTTTGGTGAGCTTGCATGAGCAGGTTTTTTAAAAATCCTCAGTTAGCCGTACGGAGGTTGCATACTGCTTAAGATGTGGTTGCTGATCAGAAGATTAGGGTTCATATGCGCCAGGGGAATGGTCAATAAGATTCTCAACCATAAATTAACAGGGAGGTTTTGAAAGGGCGTCAACGGCAGATAAAAAACAAACAAAACAAAAAACATAGATGCAGGCATGGGTTTTGGGCTCCCATTAAATCCTAGCTCCAACTTAAGAACAATTAGTTCTCAGAAAGAGAACAAGAGCAGGTGCTATAGCGAAATTTAGCGAAGAAATTAGATGATGCCTAGCTATCAGATAAAGTGTCTGGGGTCTTAAAGGCTTGTCTCCAAACAAGCAGCCTTCTAAGGGAGATGTCAACTAAGTCCACACAGAGGAAGCCCGCCATCATCAGTCACTGAAGGTTTGTAAATCATGTAATTTGTTTGTAAATCATATCGTTGAAGGAGGGATTAGTATGAGAGCCTAAATTGTGAGAATCCGATTTGCAGAAGGCTGACAGTGGGAGCCCAAGATATATTTGTGGAAACTCCATAGGAAATAAGCCTGCAGTGATCTCCCCTATCCATAATTGCGGTATAGGAAAAAAGTGGTTACTAAACAGAATCCATTGGAGAGATGAGTATGTAAAAGATCAATAAACCTGACTTAAACAGTTAAAACTTTGTCAGTTGATCCCCCGACTGATGCATGCTGGACCTGATCGGTTTTCAACATTTTCTGTGTTTTGGTTTTGTTTGTTGTGTTTTGGTTTCATTTGTTCATATTAGGGTGTATCTGAGAGGTGTTATGTCATTGTGGGTCACCCTCTTGAAGTTGTGCTATATGTCTTTCTGTTTGTCATTATGTAAAACCCAGGATTAATGAACCTAAAGAGAGTAGCGAGGAGATTAAGGCTTTGGCTGGGTTGGATGTGGAAGTAAACGGGAGATGATATCAGGGAGTTCAGGAAGCAAAGGAATGTTTGGAGACTGGTTGTGGTAGCATTTGTACAATAGCTTGATGTAATTGAACTGTGGAATGATATGATGTGTATTAAATCCCAATTAATAATAAAATAAGTTTTAAAAAGTTTTAGGGTTCATATCCACCAGCCACTCCAAGATAGAGCAATCTACTTTTAAGACTAGCCCATTGTTCAGGTTGATTCTGATTCATAATAACCCTATAATATTACATGAGAGCCTTTCAGAAAATTTTGTGGGAAATTGGATTTAAAAATTAATCAAAACGGTCCACGAACCTTTGGAAATACGTTGTAGTGCTGAGTAGAGCTGCTTCATCGATGTCTTCGACTGTAATTTCTGAGAAGCAGAGTGGTACATCTTTTTATTTCAGAGCTGCTAGGGGATTTGAATCCTTGATCTGTGGGGTAGCAGTTGACTCTTTAATCACTGTGTTACCAGAGCTCCTTCCAGAAAAACTGCAGCCTTGGCAACCCTTATGGGGCAGTTCAACTGTGTCCCTCGGTTTCCTGTGAGGCAGAATTGACTCAGTGATGATGTGTTTGCTTTTAGTCTATTAGTCTAAAGATGAAGGTAAATAAGTATACTTCTATTTTTTAAAAACCTGTTTTATCAAATGGACAAAGGATTTTACCTTCTCCATAAAAGACTTTCCGCTATGTTAAAAGTTATGCATTTTTAACTTGTTTCAATTTCCTAATAAATTTTTTTTACCATTAAACAAAAAAACAAATCATATGAAAGCATGGGTTAATTCCTTAAAATTCTCCTGCTCCTCGCACAATCAAAAGTAGATAATCTAAAAATGGAATGTTTTTACTTGTCCATGGCTTTGAATGCATGTGTATGTCATGAACCCCTTAGTCACCAGGGAACCATAAAGGTATGTCCTCTAAGAACCTTTTTTGGTTCATTGGGTTTGGGTGAAATCCCAGTCTAAATGATCTCTCAAAGAAACCCGATGGACGGCTTTAGGTGATAATATTACATGTCGTTGTTGACTCTCGATTCCCTTACAGAGCAGTGTAGAGCCGCCATCGGGTACTTGCTCATGTTTCCCAGGGTAGCAAGGACTTGAACAAAAGTACTTTGGGGAAACGTTACCCCATTGATTTCCTAGCCCTCATCGTGCCTCGTTTGTGGCTCCTCAAACTTAGAAAACATTTCAAAGGAACACACTCTGGTTCCCTCAGGGATCCCAAAACTACTGTTGGAGGTGGTATATATTGAACAAAACAGAATTCCTCAGGTTTATAGTGATGAAAACATGCCTTCCAAAATGCATAGACCTATTTGGAGGATAAACAGAGAAACAATAGCTTCCCATTTTCATTGTTAAAGCAGTACTTTTTGAGTTATCCTCAAAACTTAACAAAGCAGTACTGATTCTTCACCATTTCGATGCTCATTACTATGTTGGAGAACATTGTTTTGACTCTTGTGCCAGTCTGTCTCATTGAGGATTTTCATCATTTTCATTGACCCTCTACTGGGGCTTACACGTTGAACTGCTAATCACAGGTCAGTGGTTGAAACTCATGAGCCACTCCACTGGCGAATATGTGGTTGGCTGCTCCTGTAAAGATTTTTAAAGTTTTGGAAATCCTAAGGGGCAGTTCTCTGTCCTTAGTTCACTATGAATCAGCAGTGGGGTTTGGAGTTTTCTACTTCACCATTCGTCATCACTTTTTCTAGGCCTTAGTCTTTCCTGACAGTGTGTCCAAGGTAAAGTGAGAGCAAATCTTGCTATCCTCTCTCTAAGGAGAATTCTGGTTAGATTTCTTTTAAAACTGACTTGTTCATTCTGCTGGCAGTCCAGAGCATGGTTGGTATTCTTTGCCATCACCACAGTTCAAATGTATAAGATGAATAAGCTTATCGTTCATTTTAATCGTCTAGTTTTCCCATGCATGTGAGTCATTTTTAATTCTATTTTTCTCACACCTACATCTTCTTCTGATAGTCCTGTTTACTCTCCCTTCTGAACATTTGTGAAATAATTCGCATCCTGCCCACCACTACCCCCGGCCCAGGCACTAACATCCACGTACTGACGAGCTGAAAAGCATCTCAGCTGATCTCTCTGCCTTTGCCTTTGCTCTTCCTTATTCTGTTTCCCACTGGCATCTGGACAGTGGTGCTTTACCTGTACGCTTCAGATTATATTCTCCTGCACTCAAAGCCATGCAGAAGCTTTGCGTTTCACCCAGAGCCTTTCCAAGGGCGTGGAAGCCTACAGGATCTGGCCTCCTGTTACTTCAGTCACCGTATTTATTTCACGTCTATTCCTTGCTCAATGTGATTGAAGTACTGGCTTTCCCCCCAGGGCCCTACCTGCCATACTCCCTCAGTCTATTCAGATCTCATTAAATGGCACCTTTTTTTCCAAAGCACTTGCCACTATATGATAGAGTGTATGCTTGATAGAGGAGCCCAGGTGGTGTAGTGCTTAGTTTGAGGCCTGCGATCTGCATGGTTGGCAAGATAAAACCAGCAGCAACTCTGTGAGAGAGAGTTGGGCTTTCTACACTCTTAGAAACCCTCAGGGGGTCGCTATGAGTCAGCATTGACTCAATGGCAGTGAGTATATTTTTGATTTGTTTACCCTGAAATGTAGCCAAAGTTCTCTTACTGTTTGTATTCTTTGCAAGAAGAGTAAGTTGGAAGTCCTGTGATGAAATGAAATTACTTGGTCCTTTCCATCCATAGTCTTTGTAACTCGCACCAAATGATTGGACGGACCATGTAAATGGGTTGTATACAATGGTAATCAAGAAAGAAGATCTAGGTGTGAACCCTGTTATTGGACCCTGAAATCTCTGTGCTGAACCTCTTCCACCCAGGAAAGAGTTGAGACACAAGAGATCACAGAACAGGGAGAAGTGAAAACAGCAGCGGCCCGGGCACTAGATCATGGAGCAGGCTCTCTGACCCACCTCGCCAGTAAAGCCCAGGGCCTCTGGGCCAGAGGCTTACTAGCAGAAGAGGAGTGAGGTCCCGACCTGAGGGAGTTAGGTTTGCTTACCCATGGAGCTGGAGCTGAGGGCCTGCAGTGTGAGGTTAATGGTAGAGCATTGTGCTGTGTTACTAACCACAGGCTCAGCAGTTTGAAACCACCAGTCACTCCTCGGGAGAAAGACAAGGCTTTCTAACACCCATAAAAAAGTACAGGCTCAGAAAGTCACAGGGGCAGTTCTACCCTGCCCTATAGGGTTGCTATGAGTCAAAATTGACTCTGGCAGTGAAAGGAGTTTTGTAACACTTGCCTGAGTCGGACTGAAGACGAGGGGCTGAGGCCCAGAAGGAGTGCCTGTGCCATTGAGAGATAGGCACTGCAAACTAAAGAACTGTGTCGTCAACATTTCTGATCCTGAATGTTAACTTCCCTAAGAACTCCATCATTGTGATTATCATGTACATTCTGTGTGGCCATTGCGATGGATCATCAAATCCAGCAGAATAGTGAGGTGTAGTGGGAGGAGCAGTTGGTGTCAGAATAGGGCAAAGGAGGTGGAACCGAATGGCGTGTCAGACCGCTACCTTACAGGAATCCACCTTGGGCTGATGGTGATGGTGACTCTCCTCCTCCTCACTAGTGAAACCGAAACTGGGGGAGTCAATCATACATGTCCCACTGCATCTCTGCACCTTTATTAAACAAAACAGTTCGATGGTTAAGCTATTGCTTTTTTCCCCTTTGTTTTTCATATATTTGAAATGAACATGTATGTCACTAAAGACTAGCAAGTCCACTTCAGTTTTACTTTTCCTCCTTTTAGCTGCTCAGACCATTATTTAGATTCAAGGGGTAGAGCATCAGAAGGATTTCTAAGGCCTTGTGCCTTCACTCTCGTTTTTTATGGTTGTTGCTTTATTTTTAAAGAAGCACCATCTGTGTAGTTGTATATCCCATCTCACCAAGTGAAGTCAGTCGTAATATCCTGTGTCGCCCCCTACCCCCAAACACACACACTATACATGTGGTTCTTTTATATTTATTTCCCCTTCCATCTTTCTGCCCTCCTTCTGTGATCTCCTATCCCACCCTGCTCCCTGCCCCTGTCTCTGGCCTCCTGGTAGTGGTCCTCAAAAACTTATTTTTTGGTGTATAAACCACTTTTCTTTTTATTTGTTTTTCCTTTTAGCGGTGGTGTCAGTAAATACATTCTCTTTGACTTCCCTAAACATAATATTCTCTAGTGTTGTCCATTTCTTATATAAGAGTCATGTTTTATATTAATGCATAATATTCCAGTTTCTGAATATACCAGAATTTGTTTATCCACTCCTGTAATCACGATTTGGGCTGTCCCCGTGTTTTGCGGTTGTGGAAATGGCTGCAGTGGCCTCGGTGTGCATGTGAAAGCTGTAGTCCTTGGAAAGTACTCCGTCTAGGTGTGTACACTTCTGGAGGTGACGTTTCCAACTCTTTCCTTGAAGAGTTCGGGTTCCTTCGATACACACCACATTAAAACATCAATTTTTGAATTTTTGAGGGGTGCAAATTATTCCCTTGAAATGTTCTTTGAGTTTGGGGAACAAAAATAGGAAGATAGATAGGGTCATCATTACAGTTTTCAGTTTTTTTCAATTCCTAGCAAATACAGCCAGAATGCTCCTTAGAAGCAAGAAGGCAAAAATGTATGTACTTTGGACATGTTGTTAAGCGAGGTCGGGCCGTGGGGAAGGACACCATGCTTGCTAAAGTGGAGGAGCAGGGCAAAGAAGAGGCTTTCAGCAAGGTGGGTTGACACAGTGGCAGCAACATTGGGCTTGAGGACGAGGGCTAGGCAGTGTTTTGTTCTGTTGTCCGTAGTGTGAAAGGACCCTGGTGAAACGAAGACAGGTGGGTTACTGAGATAACTTGTTTGCAGACATCCTCTAATCAGAGAGACAATAAACCTGTGCAAGTGTGAGCTGCCACTCTGATAGCAGTACTTTCTTCCTTCGCCCTCATCTGTGGCTGTCTGCTAGAACAGTGCTTGGCTTAGTGTTGGTCAGTGAATCAATAGACACACCCTAGTACAAGATTAAGAGGAAAAAAAGAAATCACTTGTATTGGGGACTATTGTTGTGTGTTGTTGAGTGGTTAAGGTCTTGGCTGCTAACCAAAATGTAGGTAGTTTGAATCCATCAGCCGCTTTGAGGGAGAAAGCCCCTGGCAACATGCTTCCATAGATTTCAGCTTGGGAAAGCCTGTGGGACAGATCTGCTCTGGTGCATTGGTTCACTGGGATTTGAGAATGAAGCGGAGTAGCATCTCTCATTATCTCTAAGAGCATCAGTATTTTACATCACTGAGTCCATGGAGGCAGGCTTTGGAGACACTGCACGGTCAGTTCCAGACTACTGCAGCAAACTGAATGTCACAATAAAGTGGTCGCATGGGCATTTCTGTACCCAAGCACATATGAAAGTTTTGTTTACATTTCACTGTTGTCTATTAGGAGTCCTGGTGGTGTAATGGATTACAAATTGGGCTGTTAGCAAGAAGGTCGGTAGTTCAAACCACCAGCTACCCCAATTTCTTCTCCTGTAAAGATATACAGCGTCAGAAACACAAAAGGGGCTGTTGTACTCAGTTTTACCGGTTTGCCATGAGTCAGCCTGGAGAGCATGGCTCTGGATATTGGGGCAGTCTTCTACGTGTGCTGAAATAGCATTATAAACAAGTTTGAAATATGAGCTTTACCAAAGTTTAACAGACATGGAGTGAGCATGAGGAGGAAAAACCTGCACCAGTGGACCTGCTCGAGATACGATTGTCCCAAACCTCCAGTTCTGAAACCATTATCTGTAAGGAACGATAGAATGAGGTACGCTTGTCAAATTAATAAACCGCTTATTTACAGAGTTGTCAACTGTAGCAAAAACATTTCTTAACTATAACAGCTATTATAGTTCTAAGATTTACTTACCGAAACAATTTATTTGAGTTAATACTTGGTTAATTATGGCTATGGCAGATATCAAAGGGAAGTTGGTGATTAATAAGCATTTTGTGCAAAAGGCTTAAAAAAGTGAAGTTTCTGGTTCTTGATTCAGACCTATGAATGGCTAGACCTCTGGAGTTTGTAGGTTTTATGTGCTAAAAAAATGATGATCCCTTTTAAAATTTGGACTTTTCTAGACTTCATTTTCTCTAAACTTTTGCATATTTCCGTTGTGATTTATTTAGATGCATATTTCCGTTGTGATTTATTTAGAATGACTTAGCCTAAAATAACTTATGGGTAAATAGTTGTCTTACAGCATGATTTCCAAATGATGATTGGCACATGCTTAGAGTTTCAGAGGCTCAGTAGTTTTTGTTTTAAGAAATTTTATTGATATGTACAATGACCTCTTTTCATGTTACTGTATTAACAGATCGTGGCATTAGGAAGGTTGAGAACCACTGATCTAGAAGGTTTATTCTTTTATAAGGATGCTTCAAAATGTTTGTGGAAAAATTCTATTGCTTACTTCCATTTTTCCAGTAACTTTTTTAACCTCTCCTCATTCATTTACTGAATTATACTTTAATATTCTTTCTATAACTCAGTTAAATGATTTTCATTTCAAGCCTAATGATTTCATACAAGAAAATTCTTATCAGTTCATATCTAAGGATTTATTCAAAAAAATGATTTTGATTTAAAACTTGAGATATATTATTTTTCTTTATTGTTTCGTGAACTGAGTCTTCCTTCCAAATGCTGACCATCCCTTCTTAAGCTTCATTACCCGTTTCTCCCTTATTGAACAGGTGATTGTATGGTAGTATTATCTTTAGGCCAAGATCAGATATTTCACTACTTTTATAAGGTATACAACACGACAGTATGTGTGTTATAAATTGAGAGGGTGGAATCCACATGGAGGGGGGCTTGGTTCTTTTCTAAAACATTGTTATTAGGAGACACAGAGCTATAGTAGCAGAATATGGCTTTATGTGTCAAATCCTAGCTCCGTTTATGAGTAACTTTGACTTTGAGCAACTTAATTTTCTGAACCCCAATTTTCTTTTATATTTAAAACCAGAATCGGGAGTGCTGCCTGAATGGAATCAGGGTGGTTGTGTTCATTGCCTTCAATGTATAGTCTTGGGATTTGTCTACTTGCCACCCCTTGCTTTTCTTCTTACCAATGATTAGCCATGTGAGAAAACATAAGTAGTTATCACATTCAGCTAGGTAACTGCAGCATTTAAGCCTTTTTTGGTATTATATGGTGTCTTTTAATAACCAGAGCAGTAATGCATAAGCTGCTTCCGACAGGCATAAAGAAGTAGCACAGAAAGCTAGGCTCTCTTTTATTTAATTCACAAATTTTTGTATGTACTAATACATGCCAATTCTGTACTAATAACATCCCTAATTCTGGGAACAAATTTTTAGGCTATGCTACCTGTAAGGATGGATTAGAAGGGGTGAGTGTTATGAGAATGTCTTTAACATTGTTAGGGGAATGCTAGTAATTATTTCACTTTGTTTTACTATTTAACACCACAAATTGCTGACATCAGAAATAAAATAAATGTTTAAATGTTTGTCCCATAAAATGCTTGGAAATTCTTGCCTGATAATTCACTAAAAACCTCCTTGGAAATTTTTAAAAATATTTTTGTGTATTAGCAATATAAAAAAAAATGTTTTTTTTCTTTCTTGTAATAGGAGAGCCTGACAAGGAGCTAAACCCTAAGAAGAAAATTTGGGAGCAAATCCAGCCTGATCTTTACACGAATGCTGAGTGTGTAGCTACGTACAAAGGTGTCCCCTTTGAGGTGAAGGGCAAAGGAGTGTGCAGGGCTCAGTCTATGAGCAACAGTGGAATCAAATAAAGTGAAACACTTCAATCACAGACATCCACAGAAGAAAGTTTTAATAACAATAAAAAGGAATGTGTGTGACTTATTCCTGGGTATTTTTCTTCTAGACTTGGTTATATTTTTCTTAACTCGCATATATTGTTTTAAAATGATTGGAAAAGCATTACCTTTTTAAAATATTTTAGATGCTTGTCACAATTTATTTAGGAGGAGGTGTTGGTTAGCAAGTTCTTTGTTTCCTTGTACATTTAGATGACATGAACTAGATTCACGTTAATTTCTTATGTGTCAATATGTGATACATGAAATTTCAAGCCCTTGGAATCTTAGTACCGTATATACTCGAGTATAAGCTGAACTGAATATCGGCCGAGGCACCTAATTTTACCACAAGAAGTGCATTAAAAATGTGCTGAAAAACTTGGCTTATATACAAGTATATACGGTATAATCTACCTGTATTATAAAAGTCCACTCTGCTTCAAAATGACAGAAATTTTTGGCAGACTTTCTACCTAATAATGTTTTGATAATATTCAAAATTAAAAAGTGTTTGTCACCTCATTTGTTAAAACCTATTAAGTAGCATTTTCAGTGGACTATTTTGTGGCTGGACATTTCACCACAAATAAGTATACTTTAAAAAAAACCTCACATTTTCTCATTTGGGGCCATTATATAAAACCTAATCGGTTTTATGAAATGGCCACACTTCTCCCAATAATTCTTCCAAAACCTGTATTTAAAAAAAAAATCCACAGAAAGAAAATCCCAAAGGCTTTATAAGAAAATTGTTGGAACTAATTGAAAATTTCAGCAGCATGGCAGACTGCAAGATCTAACAAAGAGAGCCACAAAATAGTCCATTGACAAAGCTACTTGGTGGATTTTAACAAGTTAGGAGACTTATTTCATACATAGACTACATTACACGTATAGTATACACATTTAGTTTGGTTTCACTGTCAAACTTTTAAAATTTGGTCTGGGCTAGAATATTTCTATATTAGGTAAAATAAGTATTGGGGATTATTTTTACTGTCCAATTACTACTATAACAATAAATAGATCAGCCATGGAGCAGAATTGGAAATGTAGAAGTAAATCCATCCAGCAACAGTTTATTTTTGACAAAGAACTGAAAGACATTAAATGATCATGGCACAACTGGGTTTCCATTTGCAGAAGAATGAAATAGGACCAGCTTACTCTACATGGGAAAAATGAGCTAAAGATGGATAAAGACCTAAATCTAAAACCTGGAACTCCAAAGTACATCAATGAAAATAATAGACACAGATTTAAGGGCCCTAATGATGGTATCAACACACTTTCCATCAAAAACAAGCACAGTAGAAGCCAAAATACATGTTTGAACCTAAAATTAAGACACTTCAAAGAGTTCACAAAAGGGTTAAGAAAGGGAAAATCCCATTGACTGGGAGGAAAATTCCAATTACATTTTTTTTTAAAACATTTTATTAGGGGCTCATACAACTGTTATCGCAATCCATACACACATCAATTGTGTAAAGCGCATTTGTACATCATATTAAATAAGGGACTAATCTCTAAATTCTATAGAAAAATTCAGCAAGAAAAAGACAGTTTAATTTAAAAATGGGCAGAGGACATTTAACTATAAAGAAGACCAGACAGCCAATACACAAGAAATGCTCAATATCATTAGCCATTTGAGAGATGCAAATCAGAACAAGATAGCACCTCATGCTAGCATTGTAAGCAAAAACTCAAGGGGGTGGAAAACAAAACCAGCCATTGGGTCAATTCTGACTCAGCAGCCCTATAGGATGTAATAGAACTTCCCCTATGACTACAGGTGTGAAGCCTCATCTTTCTCCTGCAGAGCAGTAGCAGTAGTTAGCAGCCCCACACATAGCCCACTATGCCACAGAGCAATAAATACCAGAGGATGAAGAGACTTGAATCCACCCAGTTCACAATAAAAGAGGAAATGCATGTGTGTGCTAAAGATGTAGGGAATCGAAGACCAATTTTTCCAATTACATAAAGTCATTAGCCAATCAAGTTATGAATACAGTCTATCCAGTCATCAATTTTACACCAAAATTTCATAGTCAATGGCTTCTGACCAGTCTTCTGCTATTGAAATGTTTCAACAGTAGGAGGTGTTAGTAGATCACAGACTAAATAGCTGGTACGTCCTGATGAGTGATAATCATTTATCTAGTGATCTCTATACATGTATTATGAACTAAGCAAAAATAAAAATCATATTGTGAATGAGGGAGAGTGTGGAGTGGAGACCCAAAACCCATCTGTAGGCAACCAGATGGAAAGGTCCCAGAGAGGAGACAAGCCAGTCAGGGTGCAGTGCACCAACAATGAAACATACAACTTTCCTCTAGTTCCTAAATGCTTCTTCCTCCCCCACTATCATGATCCCAATTCTACCTTACAAATCTGGCTAGACCAGAGGATGTACACTGGTACAGAAAGGAACTGGAAACGGAATCCAGTGTGGATGATCCCTTCAGGACCAGTGGTAAGAGTGGCAATACCAGGAGGGTGGAGGGAAGAGGGGGTGGAAAGGGGGAACTGATTACAAGGATCTAAGCTCTTTCCTGGGGGATGGACAACAGAAAAGTGGGTGAAGGGAGACATCAGACAGTGTAAGATATGACAAAATATAAATTATCAAGGGGGAGGGAGGAGGAAAAATGAGGACCTGATGCCGGGGGATTAAGTGGAGAGCAAATGTTTTGAGAATGATGAGGGCAATGAATGTACAAATGTGCTTTAAACAATTGCTGTATGTATGGATTGTGATGAGTTGTATGAGCCCCTAATGAAATGATGAAAAAACAAACAAACACCAAAAAAACCCTTCCTGCAAGTTATGTTCTTATCCAAGATTGGACAGCTCCCAATAGTGAGTGTGGGGCTTATTTTTCTTATAGTTCAAAATGTCATGGGTGTCATTCTTTTGAGGTGAGTCATTTTAGTACATAATGATTTTAAGATAAAATAGGAGTTTTTTTCTTATCTTGCTTTCATAAAGAAGTGCCCGTTAAACAGGTTGTTTTAATGTATAAACTCCCTTTTAGACTATCAAAATGAATTAGCAGAAAATAAATCCCAACCTTATTAAAATGAGCAGGAAGGGTTTCCAGTTTCTCAAGAAGAATAACATGGAAGCAGCAACACCCAGTAAGCTTTAGAAGATCAGATCCCACATTTATTCTGAGAGCTCACCAATACACCCTGAAGTTTCAGTAAGGGCAATCGCTACCAGAATACTACCATGCGAGCAAATTTTCCCACTGTGTGAATGAGGGTAGCTTCCTGAGCAACTTCTAGCTGAGAACACTGAAATTATATTATTCCTGCTTTAGGAGCTCTTGTAGAGAGAACACTTTCATGTGGAAAATATAGGCTAGTTCCTCAAATTCAAAAAAAGTCACAAGCTAATGTACCATTTCTTCCAGTCATTCTTCCAGAGTGCTCTATGAAGAATCTGTTCCTCTTCCTAGCGCATGTCTGGGTGAGGAGAGAAAAAAGGGGTGGGAAGGTGCTAGTACACAACCAAGCAATCCAGGGATGTTCTGGGCTCCATTTCATTTCAGGTAGGAGTTGTGGGGGTCTCCTCTAGATTCTGAAGCAGTTTTACATCTGGGAGGAAGATACCACCAGCCAAATAGCTTTCTTTGAAACCATGTGTTTGGCATTCATAGAAGAGAGCGATCCAATTGGCAATCTTTGGGCAACCATCTCTATTCGGCTGCTGAGTTCCTTACAGTAATAGGCATCCACAGCTCCAGGACCTCCGCAGGCCACCCAGAGCCCCTGGTAAGAACTTTCATTGCATTCATCATGCAGGCACGCAGGATGTGGAGCACTCATAAGAGTCACACACTTGGCATCACACGCTTGGCATCATATCTTTCACTGTCTTCCAATGGCAACACCAACCTGTTTGTGGGGCATTAAAAAAAAAATCTGGATGGTGTTTGGCCAAATCTTCCATCTTAAAGGAACATGGAAGTTTATGAAGAAGCATTTCAGCAAGGGAAAAGGTATATGTGTTAGTCTGGGTACTTTAGAGAAACAAATCCACAGAAACTCATGGATAAGAGAGAGTTTTATATAAAAGGTAAGTGCACATCAAGAAAACATCCCAACCCAGTGCTGTCCAAGCCCACAAGTCCACCTTT